CTTGTTATCAAATCTGAGAGTGTGTGTGTGTGCGCACGTATGTATGTAACAGTTTACCCTATTTTCAAATATCCTATTCCTTTTCTATCCTTTTAACGGGAAAAATTTAGACATAATCTGTTATACAAGAGTACTTCAAAAAAGTTTGGAAAAATAGAATTGAAAGACAATATGAGTCTTTCTGTGAACTTTTTTTTTTTTTTTCCTTTTTGTCTTTTTTCGTGACTGGTAACGGGATCGCAACCCTCAGTGTCGTGCCTGTACCACGACCGGCAATGGGATCGCAACCCTCAGTGTCGCGCCCGCACCGCGCTCAACCAGTGAGTGGACCAGTCTCTATATGGGATCCGAACCCTCGGCGGGAGCGCCGCTGCACTCCCAAGTGCTGCACTCTACCGAGTGCGCCACCGGGCCGGCCCCCGTGAACTTTTTGAAGCACCCTCATATACTGTACCTTACATAAGGATAAAGTACAAAGCAAGGACTTAACTAATTTACTAAAATGATTTATTTTTTACTTTCATTTTATATGAAAATTGAATATTCTGTACTGTACAAAGTCAGTTCATCAGGGCATGAATGCTGTCTTGTATCTTAATTTACCAGTAAGGTCAGACACATAAAAGGCAAAGGAATGTGTTATGTAGAAATAAACAAGACCACAGTCACCTTATCAAATATTTTATAAACTTGCTTGTTTCAAACGTATAAATTTTACTTTAATAAGAACATTTTTCTAGTAAAATGGTTAGTAGTAAATACGGTTGTACTTTGACCAGGGCAGTATGTCCTTACTGGGTGCAGTTTGTCAGGAAGGGTCAAAGCCTAGCCACCAGGGGCTCAGGTACCTCCTGCCCCTCTCTGTGGGTGAAGGAGAGAGAGACGTGCCATGTTGTGCAAGGTGCTTTCTGCCTCTCAGCCCGATGTGACATCACCGACAAGGGCAGTGCCTTGGAGGCTGCGTGATGGGAGGGACCTCACAGTGTTGATATTGCCCACAAACACCAACTCTGCACGTCTTTAAGTGGCTTGTTGGTCAACTTCTAATGCCATTGTGAATTTCTGAAAATTTCTAGAAATCTCTTGTTAGGCTTATTAATTATTAAGAACCTCATTTTGCCAGGGTGATTACCATATGAGGAGAGTTACAGCCTAGAGTTGGGACGCTACTGAAAGGAATAACATTGCTACATCCTTCAAGATACAAGGCACATTCATCGTGCAACACGGAGCTCATGAGTTAGTTGAAAATAAGTGTCAGTAAATGTGTTCAAAACTCTCTCTCGTTTCCAGATTTTCTGTCACGGTATGCTAACTTGAGAGTTTCATCTCAGTGGGAAAGTCCAAGTAATCCAGTCATGGTGGTGATTTTGGCCAGACTCTAGGATTCTTTATCTGACAGTGAAATATTTTTAAATAAGAACATCTCAACTCTGCTGAAGTAAGATTGACAAGGGAATCCTGTTTTTTACGTGGCAAAATCAGATGCGCATTATTTGAGGCTACACTTTTTCAGAGTCAGTAGATTAAGAAGGCCGAGTGTCACAGAAGAAAAGCAAATAGATGTGGGTCAGACCAGACCATTTTAATGATTTGCCATAAATAGTGTCTCTTAAATACCTGAGTTATTGGATGCTTTAAGGGGTAGCCAGTGAAGTTGTACCTTAAAGCTTTATTCCTTTTTAAAGTTCCTTGCTCTGGCTGTGTGAATGCACGTTAATGATTCTCACGCTAAACACAGAATCTTCTGCTTGGAGGAGAAGCCGGCAAGGTTGCCAGGATGCCACCCACTACGACTGTCCACAGCCAGTGTTAGCCAGCTTGGGGCCTTGCTCTGTGCACCTGTCACCCCTACCCTGACCCCGTTGGGTGAGGCCTGCTCAGGACTCCTATGCATGTGCCTACCCTCCGTGGCTCAGTGTATTTTCTCTGTCCAGTGGGCTGTGGCATTTATATGCAGTAGCTTTTGATCCATTATCTCATTTCAAGCCCCTACAAAGTATTTTCAGCCTGTACTCTGTACATTTCTTCATTCTACTTTTTAGGTATGTGAGTCTGGACCCTGATGGGATTCTGGTTGCCCCACTCAACACCCATGTGACCCTGACACCCTCCAGGCTCCATTTCCTCAGCTGTAGAAGAGACACAGTAACAAGACCCACCTTTTCTGGATGTCTTGAGGGATAAAGGGGAGGCTATTGTCCCGTGGATTAAAAGCACAGAGTCACCACCTGCTGTTCCTCTGTCCCATTCAGTCCAGTTATTCTAAGCCCAAGCTTTTCCTTACTTCCCTTCCAAAGGACCTGAGCCTCCTAGACCCAGACATGCCTCACTGCCATCTGAGTGCAGTGTTCATCTTCAAGGCTCAGCTGTTAGGCCACAGGTCTCTCCAGCAGCAAGAACTGGCTTTATCCTCCTTGCACAGTCAGAAAAGCATGCCACGAAACAACTTGAATCCCCAGGGGCCCAACGTGACTCCACTGCAGAGACACAATAGAAACTAAGCTCCGCATGTTCCCTGATCCCCACTAACCGTGTAGATTTAATTTCTTCCACATCATGAGTATCAACCTGGCTTATCAACAGTCCTCCACCCTTGCCCCAAGTTTAACATCTGACTCCTGTTCTCCTCTTGCACTCGCGCTCTTTCCCTTTCCTCTCCTCTCCTCCTCCTTGGATCACGCCTTCTGTCCCATCCCCCACTTTCTCTTGTAATGGGCTCACATTTCCTTTTCCATAAACCCTACTCTTTAAAAATAAAAGCTCGTTCTAGCTCTTTCTGCCAGCCTTGCTGCACTTGCGCTTCTGTATTTCTCTGCGTCCTTGTTAAAAGTCCTTGAGTAGGTGCCTCTTGCATCCCTGAAGCTCTGTAAATGGCAAAGTGATCCTCGGGGGCAGCTGCGCACACTCTTCTTCTAGCCTCAGGGGCGTCCTCACCACCTGAGATTCTCCCCAAGTCTCCATTCCAATGAGTGCCAGCCACATTCTGCTCCTGCGACACGAATCTGTCCTGTGCTTCCTTCGGGACTGGGGCCACTTTTCACCCAGGGCTGTTCATACTGTCTGTGTTATTTCTGGATAAGGGTCTTCTATGACCTTCCAGAACAAAATTTATGTCTTTTTGCATCTGAACTTCAAAGCTTTGGACTTGCCATCTGCTCTTGCTGCTGGCCATGGACGCCCCCTGTCTCCCTGCTCACAGCTGTTACCTCAGTAATGGGGGGTAATTTGTCCACAGGGGGTGTGACACATCCTTGCTGGAGAGAGCTTTAGAGATGACAGGACTGAGTGGCCCCCCACAGGTTCTGCTAAGCAGCTGAGTAAATGACGTCTGGCTGTACCTACTGTTTACACTTGGAAAAGATGACAGTAGAGTTCCCTTCTAACTCTAAGTAGCCATGTAAGCAGGAAAAACCATTTGCTTCCCCCCGAGAAACCTAAAATTTTTAACTGAGATGTTTCACTGACTTCACAGATGTTTGATAAAATAGAAATAAATTTCATATTATTTGTCTTTGGTAATAATCTCAAGACAATATATCAGCACGGAAACTCAGAATCCAAAACTAAGTTCTGCTGCTTTTACTTATTAGTTTGTGATTTTGACTACACGACTGGAGCCTCAAGTCCGAGCCTCAGTTTCCCCAGCTGTGACATGGAGATAGCTATATTTACCTAGCTTTTAGGATTGTTACAAGGATAGAATCCAAAACTAAGTTCTGCTGCTTTTACTTATTAGTTTGTGATTTTGACTACACGACTGTAGCCTCAAGTCCGAGCCTCAGTTTCCCCAGCTGTGACATGGAGATAGCTATATTTACCTAGCTTTTAGGATTGTTACAAGGATCAAGCAAAACAAAGTAAATAAAATCACTTTGTAACTTATTTGAATGTACACTGTTAGTACTGCGATGCTCATCTTATATTTAGTATTTAACTCTAGTAAATTTCTATGCCTATAAGATATTGTGGCAAAATATTTCTAGCATCCGATTTGAATCTTTCCATGGCCAAAATATACCTCTCCCTGTCATGGGAATCCCAGGCCATTTCATTCTAGTGGCCCTGGGATGTAAAGATTCAGATTGTCTCTGAAACACACAAAAGTGACCGTCCCCTAACATTTACCTACCATGAAATGTGGGTGAACAGAAATAAACTCTCACACCATCTTCCCATAGCCCCTGGGTTGATGTTAGTGGAAAACTGTTGGAAAACATAAAAATATCCCTGTGGATTGCGATGGGAGGAAAGGACTCCATGAGTTTGCCTCAAAGAACCCCAGCCATAGCTCACAGCTGTGCTGCGATGAGCTTTAAACCTGCCCAACGTGCATCCCTGGTTTCACAGTCCATATGTACGAAAAAGGACTCACCACTCGATACAGACCATTCAGAGGCCTTCACTAAAAGAGAGGGGCGCATGATCACACAGACATGTGATGTGGCTTCTTGTTCATCCTGTTTCACGGGAACTGATGTGAAGATATTCAGGTCCTACTTAAAAAAATAAATAAATTAGCAAAGCACAACTTTGTAAATGCTCCTGTGGATCCTGAATTTAATCTTTTCTTAATCCTGTTACTGACTGCCTCCTACTTTCTCTTTTTTTTTTTAGAGTTCATTAGCCATAAAGCCAGCTATGAACTAATAAATAGTATTATAAATAAATAATACAATAATAAGAAATACTAAAACAAAGGAAATAATATTTGTAATTTTCAGATTTGGCATGAGTAGCAGTAGCAGGCGGAGGTTGAGGGATCCTCCTGCTGGATTTCTCCAAAGCACCTTGTCACGTGTTCACGTCTGTCCTAATCACGTCATGCCTGTGCCTCCTATGATATCAAGCCAGTCAGAGCCACGGCACAGTACTGTGCAGGTGCTGCTCAGGTGACGTGATCTGACTTGGGTGTTGTATATTCTGACGCTGAGACAGGACAGGGTGGGACTGAGCCCCTGGGTGGCGTGCTATTCACCGTGCCATTTTCTCTCTTTCAGGGACTCTGACCTGTTTTTGTTGGATACCCGTGTGGTGTGGGCCTCAGAAGAAGGCTGGTTGGAATTTGACATCACGGCCACGAGCAATCTGTGGGTTGTGACCCCACAGCATAACATGGGAATTCAGTTGAGTGTAGTGACACGGGATGGTAAGTTGTCAGTCACAGAAATCTAGCAAGTTTGGTCATTTTCACCCATTTCCTATAGAGCAGCTGCTGTCAAAACATAACGGACTTCACTGTAAAATAGTTTATAGTGAAGTTGAAGTCCTCAGCTCCAGGATGACTGCATTTACTGTTCCCTCGTGACTGCTGCTGACAACCAAAACCTGTCCCTCAGGTCTTCTAGAAAGGACTTGGAGACATGCTTGGGCCACATCTCCTGGGAGTGGTCAGGCTCCCAGAGTGACAGTGGGAGGGCCTTGCCCGCGGGCAAGTGGGAGTGATGTGGCATGAAGGAGAAAGGTGAGCTTGCTGTTGAGATTCCGCCTGCTAAGCAGGTAGCCAGGGACCCTTCAGTCCCCTCTCCTTCCCCGGCATCCAAGCTCAGCAGCTCGGGGTCCTGCCGCAGACCCTGCCCCTCACGGACACCCAGACTGTGCGTGCTCCACCTGAGTAGATGCCTCACTGGTCGAGAAGAAAGACAGCTGGACAGAAAGAGTGAGACAGGGGGACAGGACCAGCAGAAATGGGGGAGCTGAGCGTCCGCACGACTCCTCAGTGGGGCCATGAAACCTGAAGGGAGTGTTTTGACCCTGCCTCTCCGGAGGGGGTGTGCAAGGTGGGAGAATGCGTGATGCTTTTCCCTCCCACTCACGCTTTGTCAT